AGAATAAATAAATCAAATCAAATCATCTCTTAAAAGAAAATTTAAAAGGCCTTTCTTAGAATCGTTTGCATGTCCCGTCTTCATAAGAAAGAGGAAGCACACAAAAAACTCCTGCTCAAGTTTCTTATAATTATTGACCTTGAAGAACAGATCAGAAATGCAGGACATTTTAGTAGAAGGATTGGCACTTAAATTAAGATATTGTGAGCCATATGAAATTAATTTCCCCTTCAGTCTCACCTAACTTACATAGCAAACAGTCTTTTCTCTTCCCGAACCTGCCTGTTTCTGCGTCTAATGGGTATCAAGAACACTTGGACGTGTCTTTAGGGATATCATAAAAATAGATTACTATACTGGTTTTAACTTATTAAGGGAGCGAATTTTGGACTTAGATGCATGCTGGGACTTACTGCATAATTCATCAGTGCTCATAATGCAAATATGTAGCTGTAAAACTGTCTAAACAGCAAGAAAGCGTTTGTTGGTTTTTCTTCCAATTAAATGGCGCATAAATAGTCAACATTATACGTTTTCTTTAGCATCCCAGCCCTGTGTGGTACAGCGCCTTTTAGTGACAATCCAAAGCAACATCCATTAAGTCTTGTTTCCCTTTAAGACTAGAACTCACCGCTGGAGCGTCGGACAATATTTTCCAGAAAAGTGTTCTGCGGAGCCACCAGTCCTCTCTTTCCCCCGTGCATTATGTGTCTTCAGGACAGACGCTGATTACCGCTCGGTGGTCGTGCTGGTGATAAGCTGTCTGCCGGAGCAGAGTGCGCACCACTAGCTAGTGTCAATAACCTAGAGTAACACGAGGTATATCCGGACTGTGGTTTAAAAAATAAAAGCCTGTTATTGAGTGGAAGTTTTTTTTCCTTTTTTTATGTAAGTACAAATTGAAGACTAATAGCCAAAGTGTGAAATCTGAAGAAAATTATTACCAAACTGCCATTTTAACAGCACAATTGCAGCCACTCTGGTCGAATTAATTATAGGCTTGTTTAACACCATAAGCTTAGTCGCAGTAAATTCAATGCATTTATTTTGAAAGGCACTCACTGAATTACTGATGTAATTTTGGTATTTTTGTCTCTGATTTCACAGAACTGAATACTTGTGGAAGTTATATTTTTATTTTTCCTTTTGTGATTAGAAAGGTTGAGGGATTCATTTGCATTAATTGACTAACCCTACTATACATAATTAAAATGTTTGTAACTTTGTTAGGAACTATATGTGTGTGTTAGTATAAATTTAAATCTGTGTATTGCAGGTGTAGCTGTATTCTGTCACAGTAATGGTATAAATTTCAAGTAAGTATTCAAGTAGACTCTATCATTACAGTTTGAATTCTATTTCACTATATATTTCATAAATAAATATTGTACTTCTTGTTCCACTGCTTTACATTTTTGTGACTGCTAGAATTCGTAGTTATATACTGTAGATAAAGATGCTACATAAAACATATCATCTGTTTAATTTGATATTCATTCATAAATTTAAAGTTGTTAAATTGCCCCCAGCCTGTCAAGCCACAATATTAAATGTTGCTTTATGTACAAAATAACCCAATACAAATTCACACTTTTCTGAAATGGAATATTCTTCATATTTGCTGATAATACTTGTGCCTGAACTTGCACTTGAACTGGTACTTCAGTTATTGTACTTGAGTAAGATTTTGAATGATGGACTTTTGTTCATAATTGTTTACAATGTACAATTTTTACACGAGTACCACACCAGAAGTGGTCATAGGTAGCCTACATAGTCAACCATAAAAAAAATAAAAACAAATTCTCCACTGCTGGCTGAAAATATGAGTTAATTGAACTTAGGTTACAATCTGTATCTAATTCACAAATATCACAGTTATGCCAGTGTTCTTCTTCTCTTTCTTTGTGTTTTGTTGGAATTCACTGATATAGCCTTAACCGACACATAAACACACTTTACTTTTAGTGCCTAGGGCTTTTCATGAAGATATGTTTTAAAAAGTTAATGAGAAAATATAGGTTCATTGCACTAAATTCATATATAATGTATGCAGTGTACAAACACTTTGAGGCCATATTAGTATTTTTAACATACGTAACAGAGGCGTCCAGCAGGGGGTGCTGTTGAGACATTATTGACATTGACCGACCAACATTGTCAGACGAAGAGGAAACAACCGCTCAACAAGAGTGAAAACAACTGCTTGACGCATTATGTCGTGGAGTGATGATGATCTGTAACGGACTTTGGATACTGTCGTTCAGAAGTTCCACGTCGGTGTACAAGGTGGTTGTTTTGAATGCAGATACCGAGTGGTCGTTAAGTGTAACTACCCCCTGTTGTTAGCTAAATCTGCATTATTCTGTTTCCTTAGAAGGAATGCAACGGCCGCCGAGTTGCAATTCTCTTTAGAGCTCCGTCGATTAATGAAATCCGTCGTTACACAGGCACAGTGTTGTGTATTTTAAACTAACTTTTATTCTAAGTCATGCCGAACGACTTTGTAAATATGTTTATACGGATGTGTAATTATCTTCAAGACCCCTGCCTTGTAGCGAGGTTTCAAAATTTCTGCGGTGTTAAAGGGACATTCCCAGATAAAGTCAACAGGCCAGACAGTCAGTCAGAGCCGGACCTTCCCGGGTTGAGGAGGAGGGTCCAACAGGGGGGACAAAGCTCAGATGTCATTGTTGGGAATGGAGCAGCCGGGGGTGCCTCTGTACCGCAGGTTAACGGGATGCCGGGTGACATTGCTACCAGGCCTGACTGTGCACCAGCAGCATCTGATGACGACTCAGACACCGCCATAGCTAAACCGCTCCGGAAAAACTCCCTGACCGGAGATGTGGGTCAAGAGTTCCTGATCCACAACAACTTTCTGTTCTACCTGTTCACCTTTGGGACTGAACTGGGCAACGAGATGTTCTTCATCATCTTCTTCCCCTTCCTGTTCTGGAATATCGACGCCCTGGTCAGCCGGAGACTCATCGTGGTTTGGGCCTGGAACCTGTTCGTAGGACAGTCCACCAAAGACGTGATCCGATGGTCCCGACCCGCCTCCCCTCCTGTGGTGAAGGTGGAGGTCTTCTACAACTCCGAGTACAGCATGCCGTCCACACACGCTATGACAGGGACAGCCATACCTTTCTGTCTCTTCATGCTGACCTATGGACGGTGGCAGGTGAGCCCTTCAGAAAAAGTTTCTCTTCATATACCAATATTTATCTAAATGTTTTTGTTTGTTTTGTTTTTTTTTTACTCACAGTGGGACAAACTATCTAAACATGTCATCTTGGATATAGATACAGTGTGATGGGTGCGTTTGTTTTTCACTATTTTATAACATTTCGTGGACTAAATGATTGTTCTATCAATCAAGAAATTAGTTAACAGGTACACTGATAATGAAAATAAACAGTTAATAATCAGTTGCAGCCTTAGTTTGCTTGGTAATATTAAAGCAGTCTACTGAAACACAATATAAACAGCAGGATTTCCCTAAGGAAATTGGTAAGAGACCCTTGCTGAGAGCCATCTGATTGTGTCAGGTGTCACATACTGAATTTGTTATACTTTTATGATCCTCTCTGAGTTAGTCCAGGGCTTCTGTATATCTCAAGAGTTACTGGATTTTTTAAGGTGATACTAACAGTGATGTTTGAGAATTTATTAAAATGTGATTACCAAATATTGGCCAATAAAGGCTGTGTGGCTAAGGGCAGAGACAGGGAAAGAAGTAATGGGTAGAGGAGGAAACAGAGGGAGAGAGAGGACAGGTGTTGTTGGTGTAGAAAGAACCGGACCAAGGGGTCAGTATCAGGAAGGAAATGCCTCTGATGTTGTTTTTGTTGTTGTTGTACACTACACCTACATTAGTGCTCTGAACAAACCACAGGCAGCTGTGTGAACTGAAACTTTAATAAGGGGCTACAAATAAGTTAGGATGCAGCTTTTGGTGAAATGTTCCCATAATATATCTGCTGGCAGTGAATGGTCCATGTTTATGTAAATTGAGAATAGAAGTGTGTAATTCTCTGCAAAAGACAGTAGCTACTGTATATTCAGGTCAGGGTCAACAGGATTTTAGGACAAATTCAGCCTTTTAAAATGGATCAAAAAGTCCAGTAAAGAAGAAAGCTACAGTCTATGTTGTGTATCTTTTAAAACCTCATTGTCACACACTTCTCTGGTATCTATATTAACTTCTTAATGCCATGTCTTTATGCTCTCTCTGCTAGTACTCTTTTCTCTTTGGCTTTTCTGTGGCTCTCAGCTGGAGTGCCCTGGTCTGTGTAAGCAGAGTCTACATGGGGATGCATTCTGTTCTGGTAAGCCTATCAAATAGAAAACATGTAATGAATAATCTTTCACTAAAATCTGTGGAAAAATTACCACTCATAATAAAGGGAAAACCTAAGGACTGAGAAGATGAGCAAATTATTAATTGACTCTCGGAGGATTCCTCAACACAAGAGTTTGGTTTACAGCACAAAGCAATGAGTTAAAAATAATGTATAGACAAACTGTCATCATTTTTTTTTTTTTTTACAAATTTTAACAAAAATACTCCTCATTAATGTGCATAACAAACACCCATGCTTCATTTTTCATGCTGATAACAGGAACACAGCAACTTATAACATATGAATTATGGAAATTTATCGCCAAGCAGAGCTGTTAAATAATAAAGCCGGGAGATTAGATTCAGTTTGATGGCCATGCAGCCGATGTTAGTAGATATTGTTTTTGCTTTGCATGCTGCATCAGTCAGCAGCTCGCTTAATTTTACAGGAATTTGTCACTGAAACATAACTCACGAATCATAAATGTTTTTTAAAAGATTGGGTATATCAAGACAGTATTTTTAAGAGTGAAAATATGAGTTAACCATTTTTAAAATGGGCTTTCACAGTGTACACTCCTGGTTTAAAAAAAAAATGCCCCTAATGTGTTGCAGGAGGTAATCACTGGCTTCCTGTACAGCCTTCTGGTTCTAGCCTTTTTCCAGCCAATTTTGGACAAGATTGACACCTTCTACATGATGGGCCACTATGCTCCACTTGTGATTATCATCTCACATGTGAGCCTGGGACTTGTGGCATTCTCCCTGGATTCCTGGAGCACCTCTCGGGGCGATACTGCTCAGGCCCTGGGCACTGGGGCAGGAGCTGCTTTGGCTACCCATGTGAACTATCAGCTGGGGCTGCTGCAGGATCCACCGCTCTCCTCACTTCCTCTAACTTTACCATCAGTCAGCACTAGCTTGGTGAGTCGTTCCCTGCTTCGCTTCCTTATCGGAGTCTCTGTCCTCCTCATCACGAGAATGATTATGAAAGCTATGACTATTCCCTTCTTGTGTCGACTGTTCAGCCTGCGCTTGGATGATGTAAGACAGGCAAGGCAGCACATGAAAGTAGAATTGCCATACCGTTACCTTGTCTACAGTGTTGTAGGTTTCAGTTGTCTATGTGTTGTGCCACTCCTCTTTAAGACCTTTAACCTTGCCTGAATATGCATGTACTGCTGACACGTTCAACTACTTGGTGAGGGCAAACAGTGCTAACAGTCATTACATGCTTTGACACAAGATAGGCTAAAGCCAACAATGAACTGATACCACTCAGTACCGTCTACGTAGCCAAACCCTGATTTAGCTTATTCCATTGTGCCACAGAGCTCAGTTGTCCACAAGCTACTAAAATCACATCCCAACTGCCCTGGCTCACATCTCTTCATTAGGGTGAAAACAACCATTGTGGTTTATTTTGACTCAGTCCTTCATATGCTGTTGTGCTGCTGTAAAAACATGAGGATTAACCCACGCCTGTAAATAGTCTCCAACAAATGCACTATTTACTCCAGTTTGATTATTGTTGGCTTAAAAGCTACAATGTCCAGCTGTTTTAGGAACTTCCTTAAAAAGGAGAATATCTATTTTTGAACCATTTTTCAGGATTTTCATCTTCACGGGGAAGTCAGGAAGTAGCAAGAAGACTGATAACACTGTTTTTATAGGATTAGTTGATAGTATGAAAAGTATAAAATATCACTTGTTATGTGGTCAGCACATTTAAGTGTTAACTGAAACTTTGGAAATACAAAATCAATCAAATGTACTGTAAAGATGCTTGTATTTTCATTAATAATGAATCTATTGTATATTTACCTCATTTGATCAAAATATATATGGGTACTATATGTTAATATGTTAATAGAGAATTTCATATTATAGGTATAAACCAAACCATAAAGTGTGAAGCCACTTCTCATCTGTTGTCAACACCAATTTTCTACATGATGATAGGCAGCATTATTGTCACTTTCTTTTTGTACTTTTGCCTCCAAATGTGTTTGTAACTTTGACCCAAATTTAAATCAGGTGTTGTCTGAAATACTCCTTAGAAAGTATAGAATTGAAAAACGTGAATATTTTTGATAAATTATTTTTATCATCTTAACTATCTTAAGCTGAATTGTTGCTCTAGAAAAAACATTCAGAATACATTAATACTATGAATGCCTTAGACATTTCAATTGCTGTTATACTACAGTATAGAACCAAACTGACCCTAGAACCTGTCTTAAGTGATGTGGTTGCTTGTTTTTTCTTGTTGTAATGTTCTATTCATGGTTTGATATTCATGTCACAGTGTTAATGCCAGAGTATCATGTATCATGAGTTATTTATTAGTCTTATATTACCATCAGCTCTCTCATATTTTTTCAGTTATGCAAGGGCTGTATCTGAATGCATTTGAAAACAATAGAAAATAAAATATTCCTTCCTGCTTCCTTCCTGTTTTTTTAATGCATTTAATTTTTAAAATTGCTCTGATTTTATTTTTCTTGAAAGGGAGTTTCTGTCAATGCATCTGGGACTTTAACACGCTTTTTAAAGTGCTGTGACCCACTTGGCAGTTCTGACAGATTTTCTGTTGCCTGAAAAACAGCATCAGATGTGGCAGCAACCAATCAGTAATTACTAGTACATGAAATTGATACTTATACCGAAGGTATTCATATTAATAATATGACAAATGGAAAAAAAAAACAAGTACTTCTGAAGTCATATCTATGATACTTATGTTCCAACAAAGTGATTCAGCACTACAGTGTGGTTGAATGCTAACAAATTTAGATAAAATTTCACATAGATAGTACATTGATCCAGAATAATTGAAATCTTGTTTTGATAGCTCAAAATAGAAAGGTCAGTAGTAAGGGACGCAGTCCTGATTTTTAATCCTGATATTTAAATAACAAGCTTTCGCCATGTTACGTTCAAGTTTATGAGCAGACGTGTTTTGCTATACAACCTGACCCGATTGACCCAGGTAAAGGCACACCAAAAAGCAATGGGACGTTTTATTTTGAAAAATATGCGTGACCGCGTAAGCCGGAAGTACGGCTTCCAAAACATCAGTTCATAGAAGTAGCTAGGTAGTACTGTTCGGTGAAATGACGCTAAAGTTGGGTCACCATTCAATATACTTAATGTAGCCGAGGAAGTAGTGAACACGGTAGATATGTTAGATAAGTCATTAGACACTTGTTTACTATTCCCTTTGCTAACCGTTGTTAACTATTAACCCGCTCTTACTCTGTGGCTGCTGCAGACGCTGATATAAAGTTAGCTCGCGCCTCCGGTGTTCTGTCGAGTTGTGTTACCTGGCGAGCTGCAGCTTCACAAGGTGGTTGCGATTAGAGGTGGGGGTGGGGTTGAGGTTGACAGATTCATAGGTGGCAGCCCTTGACAGAGCCACAGTTCATATTTGCTTACAAGAAGTCCGATAAACATAGGTAACAACAAGCGTTAGGTTTTTTTTTGTTGTTGTTGTTCTTTCGTGAGAGGTATTAGTCCTCTGCCGCCGGTGCAGATGCCTCGTCTGGAAAAGATAAAAGGCAAAGGAACAAAAAGGTAAGAGTAAAACTACACCTTCAGGGAAACGGAGTGTCATCTTAAACTGAAGGAGATATTCTGTTATTCGGTTGCTAAGTTAAATACTCAGTGTTTTCTCAATTTTATTTTTTAAATAGTTTACATGTATTACTACACAGTAAAACTTCAAGTGATTGTTAATTCCAGACAATAATTAAAAGAGCCATAGAACAAAATACAACACTCTACTGGCAGGTCAGTCATTGTACTTTTGAGTAATCAGAGTTAAACGACTGATTTCCTCATATTGTATTGTGCATGCATGTAAACACATGATGTGAGTTAAAATTGTAAATTTACAATTTTCTAATACATGTTCATGTCTCTTGCTGTGCCCAACTAAGACCAAGATTAGACTGGAAGTTTGTTCAGAGGTTCTGCAGCATCCAGAAGGTCCTGTTCCCATCATGGACCAGTCCAAATGTCATTATGTTTGGGACGCTGCTTGGCATCACTTTAACAGGTAGCTGCTGGAGTTACAAAAGCTTTATGCAAGAGAAGAAGTACATCTGCCAAAGGGGGAAACAAATTGTCACAATCAAGTCAAGCTACTTATCAAATGACTGTGAATAATATAGAAATATAAATAATTTTGTCACACTAATGAAACCTCATCATGAGACGCATTTCCAGCCTGGTAAAGGGTTTTGTGACACTGTAAAATGTCACTTTTGATGGCATAAAGAACTCTATACTGTGTTTATTCCT